TTTCTTGCATTATTCAACACAACACTATTTGCTTCCCACCGCTCCAAAGTATACATTCTTCTACTTTTTCTTCTCTCTGCCTTTCCTGTTCATGCAAAATGCACAAATCCTAAAGTCAGATTTGAAAATTAAAAAGAGACTTCCCCCCCCCCACCATACCCTAGGCAGTCCCTAAATCCTGAAAATTCTGCAGATTTTATTTATTTCGTTTATTTATTCATTTTAGGGACCGCCTGTCTTGCTCACAGTTTGATGGTCACAATAATTACGATACACTTTTCAAATAATCCAATGGCAGCATTGAACCCTACAAGAGTTGGAGCCATCTCTGAAGCAGCGATTTCTCCTCAGTTGAAGGATTTGGTTGAATAATAAATTTTTGTTTTTTAGATGGTGGTTAACAATCTGCCTTTCCTGATTCGGGGAATGGTCAATAAGGATGAAATAGAATCTAAAATGTAACAGTGAGAGCAATATAGGTAAAAGAATTAATATTTAAATCACTCTTGGGCAGGACAAAAGACAGGGACAGATATTTTTCTGAAGGTCTGGTTTCATACCTCTAGGAGAAGCTGTTCCTCTTGTGCATGAAGTCTTGGAAATAACTGAATTACCAACCACTTTGAGAGCTGAGCCTATTTCTCCAATGCTGAACATCTCCTGGGGAGCTGGATGGGCCAGCTAGGTTGGCCTTACATAAGGCATTAAAACCCTGGAAGTTCCCATAGAATTTGGATTAGGAGGCTATTATCTTAATGTTTGGAAGTGGTACCGGTATATGTTTTCAATCTCTTGTATAATATGTTTTTTGAATATTGACTTCATGATTTGTGTTATTTTTTGCAGGGGGTTAGCCTTTGAAGGTCACCAAGGGTCACCCGGTTGAGGCAGACAGCTCTATAAATAAATAATCCCTATTCTGTGGGATGGAAAAGGAGATATCTGTGATCTGAAGAATTAAGTTTGATAGACCGTAGGGCAGTGGTTCTCAACCTTTTTAATGCTGCGACCCCAACTGGTTGTAAATCGAGGACTACCCAACCGATCGTAAGTCGAGACTACCCAACCGGTTGTAAGTCAAGGACTTTCCCTGCCCGGGAGCGCCACGCATGCGTAGTGCCGCCCCCTGCGCCGGCCGAGGTGTAGCTGGCAAGCGGCAGAGACAGAGCAGGCCGACCACCGGCTGGACCACCAGCTGGCCCAGCCCAAGGGAGGTAAGGCACCCGCTGGGCCCCATGCGTGCCAGCAACCCTCCCTGTGCCCGCCGGCCTCCCACCTCCCACCCCTGGCCCTCTTTTACTTACATTTTTAGTAGTTGCTCAGCAGGGAGGGGTGGAAACTTCCAGACAGCTCGCCTTAGCTGCAGACAACTTGCAGCACCGTTTGCAGAATGGGACTTTTGGCGGGCTCAGCAGGGCAGAGACAGCCTGGACAATTCCTATTGGCTTTTGAAAGCCAATAGAATTAGACTCTATTCAAGAGAGTCTATTCTATTGGCTTTCAAAAGCCAATAGAATAAAACGGAGTAGCGCAGCTAAGGAAAAGGGGGAAAAATGGCGGAGTGTGTTATTTGGCGACCCCCGTGAAATGGTCGTTCGACCCCAAATGGGGTCACGACCCACAGGTTGAGAACTGCTGCCGTAGGGGGTAGATCACGAAGATCACCAAGAATAGGGAGGCTGCTCCATACGGAGGTTGAAGCAGAAAGTACCTAGAGACATTCTACATTCTAGGGAATTCTCTCCTATCACACTTATTTCAACCCCCCCAGGTGTTTCCAGATTGAAAGGATTAGCTGGCAAAATCACTGTTGCCCAGGGGGTGCCCAGTTGGGGGGTCCTTTTATGTCCCAGCAGGAGCTGGAGTGAAGGACAGGAACTCACCCCATCCCACGGCAGTGCTCGGGTCTCAAACACGGCCTTCCTAACATCCAACCCACATCCTAACCATGTGAGCCAATGTGCTCTCTGAGGATCTTGATGTTGATTGGTATTGCCCACCCATGTCCTAAGCCATAGTTCACACATTGCATTAACCTGCCCACCATGGCTTAGAATCAAAAGAACACATTCGCACAACATATTCAATCCAAACTAAGCCAACTGCTTGGGTTTGGGTGATGTGTGGATGGCCTCAACTTGCATCCATGAAACATCGTTGAATTACCGGTGTTCTAAGTTATCCTGACAAGATTTAGGAGGTCATCCTGTATAGGTCTACTGAGAAGCAAGTTTTAATATATTCAGTGGGATCACTCCCATAAATACATCCTTGTAAGCCTGGCTTTAATGAATGAGCTTCACTGATCTCAATTCAGCAGTTGCTCCACCTAGTACTTAATTCTCTCCATGACATCATCACAGCTAAGCCAATGGCAGCCAAAGGAACTGTGACAATCACATCTGATAGCAAAGCACCTCAACCAATCTGTCTCAAAGCTGTGAACAAGCCAGAATGCATATATTCACACCACTGCAGGTATGCTCCCTTCCATCAGGTAGAACAGAATAACAGAGTTGGAAGGGACCTTGGAGGTCTTCTAGTCCAACCCCCTATGCCAGTGTTTCCCAAACTTGACAATTTTAAGGCATGTGGACTTCAACTCCCAGAATTCCACAGCCAGCGTTGCTGGCTGTGGAATTCTGAGAGTTGAAGTCCTCATGCCTTAAAATTGTCAAGTTTGGGAAACACTGCCCTATGCCATTTCAGACAAATGGCTGTCCAGTCTCTTCTTAAAAGATTCAGAGAAACTCGAAAGCAGAATAAGAATGCCCCCAAATTGTTTCTAAACCCAGATGGGGGTAGCACATTGATTCTCCCCCCTCCCATTTGACTTTTATCTGCTAGCTAAATCAACCAGCACCTCAAGAAAAGCTTCAGTCAACAATCACAACTTTTCTCCTTGGTTTTTGAGCACTAATTACTTGGAATTTATGATTTAAAGGTGACAGCCTAATTGTTTCACTGGAAATGTGGCTCTGTGTTGCAGCTTAGTGAACTGTAAAATATCCCACAGATGCTAATTTGAATGAATAAAAGATTCCGCTCGCTTCCCAAACCTGGCCTTGACAGTTGCTTTGAGCAAGATCTATGCCTCGGAATCGGTCGGTGGGCACGTTTCCTGGTGCCCAAAATCATCAGGTCTTGAAGCCTGACTACATTTTAAGTATAAATAAAGCCATCTCTTTGGATTATCTAATAGAACTTTAGATGGAGATGTTCTAAAGGCCAAAATGAGGGGGAGATGTTGTTAATCATTCATGGTCTTGAGAGAAAGAGACGGTTTTGTCCATTTTTTTAAAAATTCCACCTGCATTTGTTGTTATTGTGTTAGTGAGTCATCCTGATGGCTGGTGACTAGAATAAGAATAACAGAATAGCAGAATTAGAAGGGACCTTGGAGGTCTTCTAGTCCAACCCCTTGCTCAGGCAGGAAACCCTATACTATTTCAGACAAAGGATTGTCCAATTTCTTCTTAAAAAAACCTCCAGTGTTGGAGCGTCCAGAACTTCTGGTGTTTTGGCTTCATTTTCTGAGGAGGTTTTCCAGTACACATTTCCTAGGGCTGATAAAGAGAGTGGCTGGCTCATCCAAAGTCATCCAACCGGTTTGGTGCTCAAGGCAGGACTAGAACTCAGCTTTCTGTGCTCTTAGTCCAGCACTTTTGACCTCTGGACCAAACTGAGTTGGGATCATCCAGTTGACAGTTGAAACCAGACCAGGAAAAATAAGGTCTTCTTCCTGCATTTATTATCCATTATTATCATCATGATCATTATGAAGCATTCGCTACCCTCAGACGTAGAGATGCCCCTCCCCCTGCTTGGATGCCTTTGAAACGGCAAAGGTCAAAATCATGAGATACCTGTCAGAAGGTCTAAATGGATTCTCCTAAATGGATTCTCAATCTGCAAAGATAGAATGCAACTATGTCAGCCGGCGTTTGAGTAGTAGGGACAGAAGAAGTTGGGTGTGAAGAATGAAGCATCTGTCATGAAATTAGAATCCAGAAGAGAGCTGGGCTTGGGTTCACAAAGTTCATGCAAAAAAAGCTTTTTTGGAATCGGTTCCCAAAATCCAGATTGGATCAAATGAACTGAATTAAATCGGGCTGATCTTGCATATACTCAGAGAACATCCATTGCTACGAGTCATTCTTGCCTCGTCTGAGAGCTTTTTGGTCTCTCTCTGGGATTGTGTGAATGAGTGAGTGTGCAAACCAGGTTCCCAGTTTCTGATTCAGGAAGCCTTTGATCAGATCTAGCAGGCTTCTTCTATGTCCTTCAAAGCTATTGGACTGCAGGGGCTGCTCCTTAAACAGACAAGCATAACATTAACCCTTACAATGCATTGTTGACTTGCGAAGGCCCAGTGCAAGTCTTCCCTGTCTCCAAGAGGGAAACACCTGATGCCAACTGCCAAGAGTGCCTCTGAGCATATGAGCACCCTTGGAGACCTAGAATGGACAGGTCCATACCTTGTTGGGGGAAGGATGTGACGTTAACCCTTTGGGCAAAGTGAGGATCAGGCTGTCATGATTTCCTCCACCAAACATGGTTAAAAAAAAAAAAACCGGGGGCCAAGCTTAGGGGTGTAGCCCACCCCTCCCGATGGCCCAGAGCCGATCCTCCGTGCCCCTTCCTTGCAAGCGAGCCTGGCCCTTTTGCTTCCTGCTCTCCCGTTGCCAGAATGCGTTGCAAAGAGCTTTCTCCGGAGCGCGGGGCGGGGGGGGGGAGGAATCGCCGCCTTCTGCCGCCTGGCTGGCGCTCTCCGGGTCGGGACGGAGCGAAGCTGGGCCTGCCGTTGAGCCAGGAGGGCGGGGAGAAGGAGGAAGAGGAAGAGGGGGAGGAGGTGGTGGTGGAGGAGGAGGAGGAGGAAGAGGAGGAGGGCGAGGAAGAGGAGGAGGAGAAGGGCGAGGAGGGCGAGGAGGAGGAGGGGAAGAGGAGAAGGAGGAGGAGGAGGAGGAGGGCGAGGAAGAAGAAGGAGGAGAAAGGCGAGGAGGAGGAATAGGAGGGGGTCCCGCCGTTATACATAAAGCCGGCTCCTTCCGAGAGCTGCAGTCGCTGGCAGCAGCAGTAGCAGCAGCAGCAGTAGCAACGGCTGCCGCTTGGCTCCTGACGCTGGGAAGGAGGGAAGCCCGTCACGTGGGAACGGCAGAGCGAAGCCCAGCCGAGCAGCGGCGGCGGCGGAGGAGGCGAGCGAGCGAGCGGCGGGCAGGTGGGCGGACGGACGGACGAGGGAGGGAGCCAGGCAGAGAGGCGAGCCAGGCGACGTCTGGCTCCGGCAGGCTCCGTGGAGGAGGCGGCGGCGGCGGCGGCGGCGGCGGAAGAAGAGGACCCTTCACCCCACGGGGGTGGTATTTCCCGGTTGCGCGGGATCCCGGGCGCTCCCGCCGGCCTTGCGCCTCGCCGGCCCGCCTGGCAAAGCAGGCAAGCAAGCAGCGCGATGGGGCTCCGGGAGCTGTCCGTGGTGCTGATCCTGGCCGGAGGACTCGTGCGCGGTGAGTGGTGGGCTTCGGGAGCTCGCTCGTCGGGACTCTGCGATCGCAGCCTTGCTTCCCCCCCCCCACACACGGGAAGGGCTAGGAAGGAGGCAGAGCAGGGGGAAAGAGAGCTTCTGACCATGTCAAGAATGCCCCATTTCCCCTTCCTGATCTTTGTAAGGGGCGGTTTAAGGACTTGAGCGTTTGGAGGGAGGGTCTTCAGGCGGACCTCAAAGTGCATTATTCAGGTAGGATTCCCAGGGAGGCGGGTAGCCCAGCCCTTCGTGAGGACCGACCTCCTAAAATTGGCATGGTGATAAGAAAGGAGGAGGAACTCACAAGAGACAGAGAAAGAACCGAAGTGTTTTCTTGTTTTGTGTCAATCGACTTTCTCCGGCAGGGCTTTCCTTCCCACAAACCCCCCTCCCGAGCATTGGGGGACCCTCCAATGGAGTTGGAACGTTGCCATCATGTGGTTGGTTGGTTGGTTCTCAGCTTAGCCTGCTGCACAGCCACTGGGGTTTGCCAACCTTGCTTGAAGTTGTGTGAATCCAGCGACTTGCAGTTGATTCAACAAGCAGTTTTACACAGACACTCCAGAATACACTCCAGAGATCTGCCGAGAGGGGTACAGAATCCAGAAAACTGAATTCAACTTGGAGTTGATTAGCTTTTGAAGTTTCTGTGTGCATAATCTCAAGAAAACATGCCTAGCTTCCAAACTTTCAAAGTGTTGTTTTCCTAATATTTTCGCACCCACATGCTCAGACATTCCCGTTTAAAAATAGTGGGGAAGTAACCATACCTGGAAAATGTGGGTCTAATTCCTGGGGGAAAGAGGTAGGTAATTGTGCTGTGAAACTTGGCAAGTCCCTCTGGCTTTGTTGGAAGGTTTGCTAAACCCGTTTCCTCCCCAAATTCTTAAATTTAATTCACTCCCAGGCAAAGCTGGGGTGGGCGGAGTGGTGGGGAACCGGTTAGCAGGAGTCCAGCTGCTGTGGTTTTATGCACGCTTACCTAAGTCGCTTCTAAGGCTTCTCTTGCAAAAAAAACCCAAAAAACACACCACCGTTGGGCTTATGGCTCTTAAGTTAATTAGAAAGAATAAAGGAATTGCTTTTTTTTAAAAAAGTATCCCATCCAGCCAATTTTCAGACATGATTTGCAAAGAGTTTCCAGTAAGTTTTTATGATGAGAAAAGTACTGTGTGTTCTTTTTTAATTTCTGCTAATCTGGCTCCATTGTGGCAGCTGTTTTTAGTACCTCTGTATTTATATATATATATATATATACAATTTCTGTCTATATAACTTCTCTCTCTCTCTCTCTCTTATATATATAAAATAAATAGTAGAGAGAGATGATAGAGATAGATAGATAGATAGATAGATAGATAGATAGATAGATAGATAGTAGATAAATAGATAGAGAGAGAGATGTGTTGGTTGGTTTCTCCCCAGTTTCTCACTCTCTTTGACTCGAATGTACAAAAAGCTTCCCATTTAGGATGGGAAAGAAGTGTGTTTGCAGTGATTCAAACAACCCTCTGCATTTCTCAGCTCCTTAAATGGCTTTTAAATGATTGCTTTTAGCTGCAGTGTAGCTTGTTTGGCTTCAACGTAGCACGCTGCCAAGTCAACTGGATCACTTTATCGTTGGGCAATTGTTGCTGTTGTTTTAATGATAGTCCCGACTTACGACCACAATGGAGCCTCAGATTTATGTTGCTAAGTGAGACATTTGTTCAGTGAATTTTGCCCCATTTTTCATCAGTTCTCAGTTGTTCAGTTAGTGACACGGTGGTTCCCCACTGACTTTGCTTGTCAGAAGTTCGCAAAAGGGGGTCACATGATGCTGCGACCATCATAAATATGAGTCAGTTGTCAAGAATCTGAATTTTGATCATGGGATCATGGGATACCGCAATAGTTGTAAGTATGAAAAACAGTCCCAAGTCGCTTTTTTCAGAGCTGTTGTGACTTTGAACGGTCACTAAATGAACTATTGTAAGTGAAGGCATACCTGTATTATTATTTTTTTAACCTTGTATACTGGCCAATAATGTTTTGAATTGGACGGGCCTTACCCATTTCATACTTTAAAGTAACTGTTGAATGTAGGCAGGGTGGTGGGCAAACCATGATGGTTTAGCATGACAGGAAAACTCACTCAACAGAGGTTTATTCAGTACCTGGCGTTGGTTCAATACGAGTTTTAAAGTTGCCTAGGAAGAAGATGGAGAATAAATACTGCAGATGGTATAGACCAGGAGAAATAAAGGAAGAGATAAAATCTGAGAGAAGAATGGCTGGTTCATTGTGCAGAGAGTTATGTGCTGAGCAAGTCTATTTATTTATTTTTAAAAAAGACACCTCCCCATAAACACACACACACACACACACAGTGTTCCTTGACCTTGTCGACTTTAACATGCATGGACTTCAACTCCCAGAATTCCTCACCCAGCCAAGCAAAGCTGGCTGGGGAATTCTGGGAGTTAAAAGTTCACAGATCAAGGTTGAGAAACATTGCATTAGCAAGTTTCTTTTTCTCTCCCTGTCTCATCTCATTGGGCCCACCCATCAAAGAGAATCTCCTTTGCAGAGAAGCCTCAACATCTGTCTCCAGCTGCAGGTCTGAAGCTGTAACCTGTGAACCCGTCCAATAAGACTGCTGGCGCATTTATCCCTAAACTGTACATGTGAAATAAGAGCGGAAAGCAGGTTTCCAAAACAGTTCACGCCTGCAGATGTTTCTCTTGTTCTGCCATATGTCTTATCTCTTCTTCCCCAGGGAAGAGAAATAAGGCTCTCTCTGTGCCTTCAAACTGCTGAGAAACTTTGCATACAATGTGAAAATCTGGAGAAACAGTTGGACGTGGCTAGATTTATCCCTTATTTCCCCTTGCTTAACGGAGTGCTTACTTTAAAGACAGTAAGGGAAGGTTAGATACATCCTTGCATGATTTATAGACTGATCTCCAGGAAGGAGGTTTGGCACCTGCTGAGGGAGAAAAATATATCTCCTTGCTAAAGATGCTGGCTAGACAATGAATAATAGAACAACAGTGTTGGAAGGGACCTTGGAGGTCTTCTAGTCCAACCCCCTGCTCAGGCAGGAGACCCAATATCATTCCACACAAATGGCTGCCCAATCTCTTCTTGAAAACCTCCAGTGATGGAGCACCCACAACTTCTGGAGGCAAGCCGTTGATTAATTAATAAAATAACAGAATTGGAAGGGACTTTGGAGGTCTTCTAGTCCAGTCCCTTGCTGAAGCAGCAGACCATATACCACCCCAAACAAATGGCTGCCCAATCTCTTCTTAGCAATCTCCAGTGTTGGAGCACTCACAACTTCTGGAGGCAGGTTGTTCCACTGGTTAATTGTTTCTCCTTAGTTCTAGGTTGCTTCTCTCCAAATTGAAAGGTTTGCACAGTTTGCAAAGTTGAACCGCATCTGTGCTGGCTGGGGTATTCTGGGAATTGAAGTCCACCTCTCTTAATGTTGCCAAAGTTGAGAATAATTGGTTGAGGGATGCCAATTTGAGGAGATGCTCCAGCCAATCCTGACTTTTGACCCCTTTGATGATTTCCCTTTCTTCTCTTCCAGTGAGCCTGCAAGGGGAGTACCAGCGAAAACTTTACCGAGAGCTGTTGAAGAATTACAATCCCTTGGAAAGGCCGGTGGCTAATGATTCTCAGCCGCTCACCGTCTCTTTCAGCCTTAGTCTCCGACAAATTATGGATGTGGTAAGCTTTCATTGTTTGTGTAGTGCCTTGTCTTCCTCTACCCAGAAGGGCAGCGTTACAAACATCCAATTTCTCCGCTTGGGGCTAAGAGAATTGGCAATAGTCAAGATTAGACTTATCAGACCTAGAACTCATCAGACCTATATCCTTCTCTATGCCAATTTGGTGGGTCCTAATCAAATATTGCCGATATATACTGGGTCTGGTTTGCAAGAGTCTATTGTTAAATGCGAGAGCGAACTGTTAAATTTTTAGGCATCTTGACAGCTGGTTGAGAGCAGAGCTGAGCTACGATGCCTAGAGGTCCAATCAGCTTTGGGGTGACTTGCAATGTGGTGCAGTGGTGGCAGTAGATGGGCAGAGCCAGCTGTTATCCCTTTATTTAGCACGCCATTGGATGTTGCCAATTACAGCTTTTGAATTTGGTCATGTCAGCTCTTTGAAGTTGGCAAACAAACCCTGACTGGACTGACTGGAATTCTATGTCATTGGCGCAGGTACAGTTAGCCTGATTGGGTTTTTCCTTCCTTCCTTCCTTCCTTCCTTCCTTCCTTCCTTCCTTCCTTCCTTCCTTCCTTCCTTCCTTCCTTCCTCATTCCCTTCCCTCTTATTTGTTTTATTTCCATTGAATCATGTCCAACTGCTTAGATAAGTCCCTGCACTTTCCTTGGCAAGATTTTTCCAATGTGCTTGGCCATTGCCTCCTTCCTGGGGCTGAGAGAGAGGGACTGGACCAAGGTCATCCTGATTTCTGCTCAAGGCAAGACTAGAACTCACAACCACCTGGTTTCTAGCTTGATGTCTTAACCATTACACTAAACTGGTTCTCTCTTATACCCCAGTGAATTGGGGTGGAGAAAATCTGAGCTTCCTTCTCTGTTTCTCAAGTCCAAGGAGACTTTTGTGGCTATGGATCTCTACACACCCCTTCGAGGTAGACCAGGTCAGGAAACAAATGCAAGTTGATCTTTTTGGTTTCAGCAGAATGAATTTACCGGTCATCTTTGCAGATCGTTGCAAAGATCTTTGCAGATGCAAACAATGCCCCTTTTAAAAAGAATGAAAGAGAAATCAGATTTTTAAAAAAAAATTAAAATGAAAAGAATTAAATCCGCAGAAGCAGATCCCAGGGCTGCTAAGCCAGCCTTTGGAATCTCATTCAGAAGTAAGAGCTGAAAGACTGGCAACCTGCTTCTTAAACCCCAACCGGTTCTGTTACCTTCACTCATCCTTAGAGATTTTAATCCAGCCGGTCTTGGGTTTTTAATTGTTTGCCTTTTGAAGGCAGCTTGGTAGGAACTTCACTTTCTACTTTTCTCCTGTTTAGAATTTGCTCCTAGGTGTTTTGTGTGAAGAAAATAAAATAGAAAGCTTTTGAGTGTTTAGGAGAGAAGTTCCAGATATCTTACTTTGTTCTTTTATTTTTTGGGGGGGAGGAAGGGGGTGGTGGTGACATAATAATCAAAAAGCGTTTTATAGACATGCTCCACTTCCTAGTCAGGAGTCAAAGAAAAGGCCTTGTAGGATTTCAAATGCCTTGAAAAATTTCCATCGTTCGGTTCTGCGGCAAACTCTCGCCCTGCTCTGAAGTGGTGCCAATGACTTGAAAAAAAAAAAAATTGGAGAATACGTGCTTTGATCAAAATTCAGACGCTTGGCAACTGACTCGTACTTATGACGGTTGCAGCGTCCCTGGGGTCACGTGACCCCATTTTGTGACCTTCTGACATGCAAAGTCAATGGGGGAACCAGATTCAATTAACGACCGTGTTACTGGCTTAACAGCTGCAGTGATTCACTTAACAGCTGGGGCAAGGAAGGTCGTAAAATGGGGCAAAACTCACAAGCACTGCCTCACTTAACACCATAAATCTGGGGCTCCGTTATGATTGTAAGTCAAGGACAACGTGAAAATAGATACTAGAGCAGTTAAGAGACCAGCCGTTAAGATTAGTATAATTTGTTGTTACAGAAATGGTGAGTATTTGTTAAATTGGTAAAGTACGAACTTGAGGTTAAAAAATTGAATACTTTATTGTGCAGAGAAAACTTGGAAAGTTATACATTTTTCCTTTCCTTTTTATCTACACCTTCTCCCCCCTTCTATTTTCCTCTCTTCATATTCATCTGTATTTTATCTTATGATACCCTTAGTAAAATTCTTATGTAGATAAATAAAAAAGAGATCCGCGGTCAAATACTCTGCAAATTCTCCCCTAGCAGACAGAATCCAAAGCCCCAAATTTTGGGGTGAGGCTAAATATCTGCCCTCAGGATCCCCAACCATTGCTTCGATTTTAGGGTTAACTTTCCTAATTAGCCACCCACAAAACCCTTGTAGAAATGGACCAACGCCACTCCAGCCTTTATAACCTGCGTTGCTTATTTCTCCCTCTGGCTAAGTACTGAAAGCTGCCATCACGCAATTAAGGGTGGAGTGAAAAATCAAGGCTTTGGACCAAGCTTTATTTTAAAAAATAAAGCATTGGGGTGGGGGTGGGGGGTTTTTTGGAAAGATTTTGAAAAGCAGCCACCAAGCCATTAAGGTAATCATATTATTCAAACAGAATAAAAGCAGCTTCAGTCGCTGACTAGTGGAATATTTCAGCTACCCAACTAACGTGAAGAAGTGAATTAATCCAGACTGAAAAATGTAAGGTCCAGCCTTTTCGTCTCAGATTCCAAGGGGAGATCCAGAAATTAGTCAGGAGAGCCAGGATCCCTTCTCATGATCTTCATCGATGACTAACTAGAGGGTTACGGCCACAGTTGAGCCCAAAGTTTCTGTGGTTTTGTTCAGTGAGTTTGGCCCCATTTTACGACTTTCCTTGCCACGGTTGTTAAGTGAATAATTGAAGTTGTTAAGTTAGTCACAAGGTTGTTAAGTGAATCCAGCTTCCTCATTGACTTTGCTTGTCAGAAGGACGCAAAAGGGGATCATGTGACCCCGGGATACTGGAATTGTCATAAATAGGAGTCAGTTGTCAAGCGTCTGAATTTTGATCTCGTGACCATGGGGATGCCGCAACGGTTGCAAGTGGGGAAATGGTCCTAAGTCACTTTTTTCAGTGCTTTTGTACCTTCAAATAGTCACTAAACAAACTTTTGTAAGTCAAGGACTACCGATGTAAAGCCCTAATTGGTGGGTGATGTGCCATCAAGTCACTGTTGACTCTTAGCAACCACTCATTGTTTCTCCATGAAGATCTGTCCCTAACCTGGTCCTTCAGATGTTCCAGTGGTCTCCCCATCGCCCCTCTTACCAAGTCCAACCACCTTTCTCTCCTCTCCTCCCCTCTCCTCCCCTCCCCTCCCCTCCCCTCCCCTCTCCTCTCCTCTCCTCTTTGTAACCATCACAGCAGAATCTGACCTGTTCTCCAACCTACCTTTTCAGCCTCTTGAACAATCCCGTTTCTGTGCAGAGTTCCACACATCTCTGTGACATCTATTTTCTCTCTTCTTTCTAAGAGAAAAAGCTATTTCCCATTGCTGCCAAAAGAAGGGCAATTTGCATAAAACGAAGGAAACAATTGGGTCTGGACAAAAACAGAAAACTAAATTGCTGGTGTTTGCAATTCTGAAATAGGTATGGAGGCATCATGAATCCCAAAGATATTTTTATATGCATGTAAATGGAGCATTTAGTAACGAGTCAGCTGTGATTAAGGAGGCCTGGGAAAACTGACGAGAATCCTAGAGGATGGATGGTATGTGATAGATGGCTGTGGATGACTGGGGTTGAAATATAAAGCTTCCTTTCGCTCCTAAAACAACAGGATCAGCATATCCAGATGTCGTGAGATGGTTATGATCACCATTAAGCAGTTAATGCAACAGAATTACATCCCTGCTCATAATGTTTATGCCTCAGCTGTGCATGGTTCAAGTGTCCTTGCCTTGTGTTGGTTTGAATTTTATGTAAGCGCAGGGGCTAGAATGAATGTTTTCAGTTGCAGAGAAATTTGCATAGTGGATTCCTAAGTGGAAGGTGGTTTGGTAGCAGACTCCCCCCCCCTTTTAAGAATTTATAGTGCATCATTCCCATGAAAAAAGAGATGGTGGAGAAGAGATAGTATCAGAGGGATTCTTGTCAATTGGAGAGGTGAAGAGTCCCAAATCAAAGAATGTATATTAATTATTATATTCATGTGCTTTCAACTCCATGTGGGCTCCAGGGGTTTTTATAATATCTTCATATAAAATTATGGGTATCCATGGTGACCCCGTCTCTTGAGAAATCTGTAGTGCTGAGAAAGGAAACAGAAGAAAAGAATGACCAACATCAAGTGGATGGATTCGATTATAGTGGTAATGGATATAATGTGAAGGACCAGGTTGGAGACAATCCCCCTGGAGAAAATGTATGACTTTGCTAACAGTCAACACCATAGCATATTATCAATCAATCAATCAAAATCAATCTCGGTGAACCAAGAGTAGGATGCAAAATGCCAACACAACATTGCACAATTACTTCAATTGGCATATTTGCATCAGAGGTGAGAATGCAGCTACAGAAATGCTGTATGGATGAGATGATGCCACCAAGCACACATCAGCATTTGGACAACATTGTGGTTCCCTATGGATGCCACTATATCGAACCATAAAACCAACAATTAAAACCATGAAAAACAAGCCAGCCCCAAATCCCAGCAACTTTCTAGATTTAAGTGTCAACAAAATTTCTCTGTTTTACAGCCCGCCTAGGTGCCATAAAAAAAGCAACATCTGGATCGCCATGGTAGCTTGTTCCAAAGGGATGGACCCAAACTGAGAAACATTGTCCTCTGATCCTTCTCTTCCTGAACAAGTAGAGAGAGATTTAACTCCATCCTGCACACAAAAAAGCAAGCTTTTGCCTACTATGTGATGAACACAATGTGCCCAGCTGATAATTGCTAAGCTAATAATGTCTGATCATCTCTTTGCTCCTTGATCCAAGTCTTTTATTCCTGACTCTGTCCAGGGTCCTGAAATGATGCCCCTTAAAGAATGTC